TTATTCCCATAATTAAAAACTATATTTCGTCAGATATCATGGAGTACACTACCCACTGATGAGTTTAGAGATGTTTTAAATTGGAATATTGACAGGAAATCATTATCCACCTATGACGCTTTGTGTATTTCTTTGACTGGACTCACACTAATTTCGTGGAGGACATACGTGTTGTTAGGGACGTTGGATCCTCAGAACTCACTTGAAAAGGTCCTGATTTTTTAATTCATTGCTGAACTCTTTTTATGTTTTCGCGCATAAGTCGCCCATTTGACCTTCAGCTCACATTTCCCACTCGGAAAATCCTTCACTGACATTGATTGGTGAATTATTTTAGTATGCTATTTTGTGGCTCTCCCAAGGACGTTGCTATCATTGTATAAATAGGCTTGATTTGTGTGCTTGTGGACCTTGTATTTTCTGGGCGCTTGTAGTGTGGTGCTAGCTACTTATAAGTAGTATATGACGTGAGTGTCAACATAATGTCTGGCAGCAGGAGATGGTGAAAGATCAGGAAAGGAAGAGTTAGAACACAATGGAATTTGTAAGAAACTCATGAATAGTGACAATGGATTGATGTTTTGCAACAGGAACAGTCCAGTTCGATATGATGAGCTGATATTTTGCAAATTAACGATTTACGATATGGTTTTCCGATTTTGCTGAGTAACTCTGTAATTTTCGTTAAATACAATTCGGTTGCCCCACCTGTGTTCTCGTTCACTACAGTAGAATAGATTCTCTATACTTTCTAAAGACTTCTTGCTTTTGTTAGCAGGGCCTAGGACAAACGGATTAGAGTAGCTTATCATGTCATCGTATTATTGCTTTCGTTCTGTTCACCGAGTAAGGTGAACTCGTAATAGCATTCAGGCATATCATTTGACGAGTATATAGTGTTTTCATTGGAAAATACCTTTCAGCTTGCATAAAGGTTTGAGAGAGGAAATAATTTCTGTTACTTTGATTAATTCTTCTAACGAACACTTTTAAATATAGTACAGAGAGATTCGTTCGGTTAGGTGTAAATTCGATAATGTTGTAAAAACTACGTTTAAATTCAAACTTTTTGTGTTATATTATTAATTATTCTTGAAAACATCTTTCTTATTCCTCTAAAATTGCCAATTTTTTCCAAAAAGCATTTAATATTCGTTCAGTTTTACGTACAACTATCTTATTTTATTTAGGAGGAAGCTATTTTTAAGCATTCTGATCTTTGATTTTTTAATATTGAATCTGTTACTTTAACTTATATATGCAGATATCATATTGATATTATTTGAAAGAAAATAATTTATATTACTAGTGTTATGAATTCAGTAGTTTTAATTATACAGTAAATATTTATCATAACTTGACAGATTAAATACTGCACGAATTATGATAAGTACAGCAAACAACATAATCATATTGCAACAAAGTTTTACTAACAATTAAAATGTATCAATGAAATTTATACAATTCATTTACATTAGTTGAGCATCAAAGTAAAATCATGATTCATTGTTTTATTATTGAAATAGTACAGTAAATTAAGGATAATCGATAATAGATGTCACATAAAGGCAATTTCTATTTGAGCACAAATAAATACGATAATTATTGAATTATCAGAAATGCGTAATTAGAGAATACAGTTTATGAGTTGAACTTTCAAAGTTTTAAACAACTAATCTTGTTGAACAGTTTAATTAATTTTGTTTTATGAATTAACGTTAGTGATATAATAAACTGTTCAATTTTCTACTTGTAGAAGAAATATTTTACAGACACTGTACGTTACATTGTAATACTGACATTTTATCTTATATCAACTTATTTATCACATGAAAATACGTACAATTATTGTTGTGTATCTTTGGGAATTTTTAACCCTAACACACATGTATATTTTCAAGTGATTTAGCCTCCTGTTATTAATTTATCTTGATTGAAAAGATAAAAGATAGAATGATATTGTTTTAATTCAGTGAAATAATTCTAGATATCACTTATTTCGTCGTTTACTTTAGTACAAGTAGTAATGTTCATTTTATGTTCAACTAAAGCATTTTCAAAATTTTATAAACAACAGAATATATTATTAGTAATTGAATAAGGCTAGTTCCAATGAGGTGACTTCGTAAAATAAGACAGACTAAAATTAATATCAAAACCCAAATTGCTTGTTTATTTTACTTTAGGGCTCGCTATCTTCACCTAAATGAATCCTAGCGTTGACGTTCATGTTGAGACAGGAACCTACTACATTTTTCTGAATATAGGTACATCCAACTGATGAGCATCAAATATGAAGCAGCATGCATATCGGATTCTATTGTTAGTAACATTTTTACAAGAATCCTTCAAATTTATGTTTGACTAAAACAACAGCATCGAACTTAGCAGAACAACATGAATTCATTTATCTTCACTCAGTTACAACCTAAACCTTATGAAAATAATAAACATTTAAAATGAAAATAGTAAGTACATACTTTGTATCGCAAAAGTAAGAAGGTTTTCGATGATGAGGAATAATGAAACAGTGGTATATATTAAAAATTTACAAGGGATGCTCGAATGATTCAATATTTATTTCCTCAGTAATATAGAACTTTCAGAAGAAAAACTTGTTAAAAATAACAACGAAAACTGAACAATCATAAATCAATATTGAAAGTTAGTTAATATACACATTTTTGAAACCATGAATCGATCAATGTTAGACCACCATTATAAACCTGGAAGCACTGTTCGGCAGTTTTTTTCTGGTATAGGACTCATCGTCAGTGCGCATCCACATTTCCTGCACCCCGCAGAATTCGAATCCAGGACCTTGGGTATTGTGCGCGAACGCCTAACCTCTGGACCACCGAGCCGGTATCTAACGGTGTTAAAGCCGAACTTCGATCAATTCACGGAGTTGCATAAACTCATACACAGTCTTCGGTAGTTACTGTCTACACCCAAACAGGTTGAACTTCACTGGTCAGTGCTTCCAGGTTTCTAGTGGTAGTCTAACATTGATCGATTCATGGTTTCAAAATTGTGTAACTTAACAATCTTCACAACCCCGTAATGCAGTTATTTAATAGCGATGCAATACTCAAATAAAACGGCGAAAACAGGAAAGAATAGAAATTAATGGTTGTAACCACAAAATATTAACCATCTGCCGCTAGGAAACTGAGGTGACTGGAGAGAAACAAGCGTAATAACAATATCCTTTTGAATGCTTTCGCCTTATCATTTGTTTATTAGTAATTTTGAAATCTCAACTTGTGATCTAATATTAAATGAATGAAGGAAAATCAAGTCCAGAGTGAGTTAACTCCTCATCTATGACATTGAATTATTACTACACTCTGCTTAAACAACCGAAATTTTAGATGTTAAGTGTCGGATTTTCACTTCCCTTTCACACTCTCTCTCCGGAGACTGGTACTTACCCTAACTGTTGGAAAACTTCATACATCATATTACACTACAAATCAGGAAGTAAGACTGACATGAAAAGTTCTCGGCCTACGATTATTACTCCAGTTAGCTCTAGGATAATGATAAAAATTGATAATGACAAACTGTTTGCTCATTGAGAAATTCATCATTGATTCTCTAAACTCGATCTCATATGATCTACCAATCTGATTGCATCAATTTGGTATTTACTCTTTGTTGCTAGGGATACCTCATCTTAGTGCTATAACTTGACTGTTCTAAAGCTTCGGACATGGCTGACCATCAGCTTTCTGCCGGTGAACTTACATCTTACGGCGTCAGAAGCCCTTTACTTGCTTGGTTTAGTTCTTACCTCAATCATCGACACCAAAAAGTCAAAATAAACTCGTGTTCTCTGAATGCTGTTCCAGTTAAAAGTGAATGAATACAAAGTAGTATCTTAGGTCTCTTGTTATTTGTAGCTTACATGAAAAATATACTCGAGATTGCTTTCGTGCAAGTAAGTCTTAAAGTAATGTTTTCGTTCTCCCCTCATGAAGTGAGCAATATACAAAACTGCATGAATATGGAACTCAGTCAAATGGTCCAATCGAGCTCAAAATGAAAGTTGGAGCTTCTCACTGCCAAATGTGCATGGATCTGCTTTAGTAATCCTTTACTCATCTTAGACCTAACTATAAATGGTAAGGTGTTATCGAAATTTCAAATAGTAGAGGACTTATGACTTAAGTACTCCTATAATCTGTCCTTCCCAGAACAAACCTTCAAGTCTCAAAGTCTTCTGGGTTGCATAATTCGGAATCTCTATGACAGTGAATCATGTGTTTTAAAGTCCAGATTCGACCACTTCTAGAATACTGCACATCTATTTTCAGTAGTGTTTGTATATAGGATAAATTAAGGCTAGGATGTGCTCGGAGACTGTTTGCTATTAATGATACAATGTCATTCTCAATCCTCTTTTGATATAAATTAAGTACCATTAAATTTTTCGAAACTATGGAATAACTTACAGCCATCTACTCATGATCATAGCTCAGAGGGCCGGGAAGTTATGGAAGTTATGGAATAACTTATAGCCATCTGTCTGCGAAATAAAATCACTCCCATCTTTTATTCATTGCATCGATGTCCTCGGGAAATGCCTTAAATATGGTTACAACTGTACATATATAACATTCTACAGGTGAGATTACAAGAACTCTAAATGTTGGATTATTTTATAACTGAGTCTACTAATTAACCGACTTACTTGCAGATACTTTACATGCACACTATTCCTTGCAAATTTAACGAATTTGGAGAGAATCTAGCCTGAAAATTGAATCATAAAATAACCTTGTATCCACATTATAGCAGACCTAATTGACCTTATTGGCTTATCACTGTAGTTAAGGCTTTCGTTGTTCTGTGCCCTCTGTTTCCGTTTTATTTTCTCTAATTGTAGATGATTATAACTAATTCGATATGTCATTGGAAATGGTATTGAATAAATTGTCCATACAGCAACAGGTTGTAAAGCTAAAGAGGATTAGTTGTTAATACAATTCACACAACTATTTATTGGTATAGTTCTGACAACTTTTATAATATCGTTTTGCAAATTGTTCTGGTGTACTACATTGTCTAACTTCCCTTAAACATTGAATTCTACAGCATAACATACATATTGGAACGCTTGAATAATTGAATACATCAACACAATGCATACAGATTGTATTCTTTTGATCATATCTATCCAGGCGACACCAACAACATGAACCGATGCTTGAAATGTAAACAAAAATAAAGAAACATAGCATTAGATTTTTTATTGAGCCAGAAAAAATTTTGGCTGAAAGTGAACTAGGTAATATTGATAAAACTCTAAGTTTTTGTGTCTGATTTATTACTTCTTTAATTGTTAAATTTATGATTATTATTAATGTATCATTTTCTCCTCCATACTGTCTGGTTTAATAGTGTTTCATTAGAACCAATGATGACTTTGGAAAATAGGCCTGTAATGGATTCTTTATATTAAATTGACAGTTAGTTTACAATAATAGGCATTACTATGAACTTCTGCTTTGACCTGCATTTGTTTAAAAGAAAGGTAGATTACCATACAAATAAAAGAAAATGTAGGTAGAAACTATTGGGACCGCTGTCATTTATGTTTAAGAAGTATTTTATGCAAATGAAAACTAATTCGAAATAACAATTTTCTTCCATTCTTATGAAAGATACTGTTAGTGAGACATAGATGGAATTAAAGCATAACCACGTTGCTGCGCGCTGATTGGCTGATTTCCTATCCAATCAGCGCCTGAAGAAGAACAGGGTAGAAAGTTCTCGTGGCTAAATCTAATGCAGTCGATCACGTGAATTACTTTCCAGAAGCTTCTCATGTATATACTATAAAGAAACTAACGTTGTATCTATTTTGCCTTCGCCTTCAGCTTCGGCTTCTTATTTCCATTTAACCTTGCTATTTGGAATATAAGTCTTTTTCCTGTTCCACCGTGTTTTTGATTCTTTGGAACTTGTCCAGTGTATTGTGGTCGGAGAATACCAAACAATAGGATTTAGCTGGGAATTATCTAAGCAAGCGTTACAACAGATACACTTTTTATCAAATAAATGATCTCGGGAGCCCAAGTTAAGTTTATCAATGTAAAGTTGTAACATAGTCAGGTCACTAAAATTGATTCTCTGTGAGAAACTGCTCAGTAAGCAACGAGGTGTTCATGCTGTCAACAGAATAACCAGTTTCAGTGTAGCTTTAGGAACAGATATTCAAAAACCAGTGATTTTGTAGCTTTATTCTCTTGAATTGCGAAATTTTTCACCATCACCTCAATGTTATGAACACTTTGAACTGATATTACGTTGTTCAGCAATGTAATATTCACGAAAATGTTAATTTGTTTCAACTGAATAAAGTTAGTTCCAGTCGAATAAAGATTAAACACTACTATCCTTTAAGTTTGTATACCTTATGATTGACCCGAACGAGATACATTAATTTCTGGAGATTATCACATTTTATGTGTTACTTACAGTGAAATAAAGACAAAAACTTTGAAAAACTTACGGAGTCAACAATTTACTTAACAATGTAGGTTCTTCTTCATCATCAACTTTCCTAAACTCAAAGAAATTTGGATTGTCTTCCTCTGTGCTAGTAATTATTATGTACTGTTCTGGTTTTTGGCTGAAAGTTTCTTGGTTTTTTCTGCTGGTTTTATGGAGTATATCTCTCATTTTTAAACTAGTTAATACTTTTAAAGATTGAATATCAACAGAAGAGTTATTTTTAATCTCTTCTGGAAATAACCATAACATTGGATTATTATTTAAGTCCAAACTTTCTAAAGTTTTTTCACATAAACATAGAAGACCAGGAGGAATACCAATTAAATCATTTCCATTAAGTTTCAAAACTTTTAAATGCCTGAAAATAAAATTCGTTTCGTAAATTAAAAAATGATCAGAAACAAACTTGGCACATTCACAAAACAACATATTTCAATAGCAACAATAATCAGATAAGAAAGTAATAGCTATCTTTATTGTTATGATAAGTTTGATTTATCAAGAGTTTCACTATATAGAAAACTTGATTGAAAGTCAAAATACAAATGTTTAAGATAGTTGATCTTAATCAACTCAACAGGTCAATTGATTAGAACTATCGTTAAAATAAAAATACTTTTGATAAAAAATTAAATAATTCGATTTGTCGAGTATGAGTCACATATTTTACTGTTTTGGATTCATATTTATTGTCATACGGACCAAATAATCCCACTGAGAATATATCAAAGCCTAAAAAAATTACCGTAATTGTAAGTCAAAAAACATTAATATCCATAATTCTAATTGAAAATATCGTAAAATGTGCTCACTAGTGACTAGCTTCGTGAGAAAATTCTCGAAGTTCTAGTGAGAAGACGTGACTAGTGGAGTTCAACCCTGTCTGGTATAGGCAGTAACTACCAAAGACAAATGGGTGAGGTCGCGCAAAATCCCTAGATCAATCAGATTTAGACATTAACACCGTCGGATGCCTGCCCAGTGGTCCAAAGGTTGGGCGTTCGCGTACAATACCAAAGGTCCCGGGTTCGAATCCTGCGAGATTCAGGAGTCGTGGATGCGCAGTGCTGATGAGTCCCTTACCATGACGAAACGGCCGTCCAGTGCTTCCAGGTTTCTAATGGTGGTCTAACAGTGATTGACTGATGATTTCAAATGTGTAAAAAATAGTTAATCTTAATTATAGAACAATAAATATTTCACCCGTATATTTAGTTGCATTAGGTGTGACGTAGTCGATTCGGTTGTATCTAATATCGATTTCCGATATTTGTTCATATCTTTTTTATATTTCTTTACCAATCCTCTCACCAGTATCAGCTCATGAAGTTCCATAATCTTTTTTTTACAACATATTTAAAAACTTACTCTAATTTTTCTATCCGACTATCAAGATATGCAAGACGATTGTGGGATAAATCTAATTGTTCCAGGGATTTCAGATCGAAAAATCTATAAAAAAGAAGATAACAAAGCTATAGCTGGATCAATTAAATTTACACAAATCATAAAATGGAGAGAAGATTAATATTGCAAAACGTTTTCATTAAGTAAATATCACACTTAATAAGCCATGATAAAATATGTTTTATTCGCATATACAGTTTGAATTGAAGATGGAATAGATGGAAAGTTGTTGAATATGATAGTGAATGATTGTACAAGCTCAACGTTTATAATATGCCTTAGTGATGAGTTACGTGGTTACGTTGCGCCAGCTCAGTTGTCCGATGGTTATGCGTTCACGCACAATACCGAAGGTCCTGGGTTCGAATCCTGCGGGGTGCAGGAGTCGTGGATGCGCACTTCTGAGGAGTCCCATACCAGGACGAAACGGCCGTCTAGTGCTTCCAGGTTTCTAATGGTGGTCTAACATTGATCGATTCATGGCTTCAAAAAATGTGTAACTTAACAATATTTACAACCCCGTAATGGTCATTAGATAGACAGTTTTTTCTAGTGAGAGGTTGATCAGACGTCAGCTCCTATAACATATTCACAGATCGGAAAAGGATCTTCAGATCAAACAGAATGTGCGTTACCTGTAAAACAATTAGTTTGTTTCATATTTTCAACTTCCGTTAAATCGAGATATTGTTATGATATTTTCTTAGCTGAATAAGCAACAAAGAATCTCTTATTATCATAACTTGTCTCGTACATCTTTATTACACTTTATAAGATATAATGGTTGTAAGCAGCTGATGAAAAACCGCAAAATAAAATGAATTAATATTTTGCCCTAATCATTTTTACTTGCTTTATTCGAACATAATCATGTCTAGTGGTTGAGTTAGATTTCACTAGGTTTATTTCTATCAGTTTTTCCGTGGACATGAATTTGTTATCAGTTCATAATCAAAGTTAGCTTCGGTTAACATTAAATCTCTACAAAACCAGTCAAGTCAGAACAGAGACAGTGACCAAATTCTAGAACAGTGTAAAAAGATATAATAAACAAAATCACTGAAACGATTTTGAATACAAAGAATACGTAGAATAAATAATACTACAAAGTAACTAGAACCTTCAGAGGTAAATTTCAATGTAAACTATCAAAATATCGAATCATCTTATTAGATAATTTAAAAGAATATCATTTTCATAATGTTTATCACTTACTGAAAAGTTAAATTTTCAATTAAACAATAAGATAAATCCAATGATTTTAATTTTTTTAATTTGACCATTGATTCAGGCACTTTACGCAGAGGATTGAAACGTAATGATAAAAATTCCAAATTATTTAATAAGCAGAAATCACTTGGTAAATCCTTATTAATAATAAAGAAAAGATTAGTCATTATTATTATTATTATTATTATTATTATTATTATTATTATTATTATTATTATTATTATTGGTACTTAGAACTTAAAGTAGTTTTCTTTGTTAACAGAAATGCTGGCTGATCTATAGGTGAGGTGAAATAATCAGCAGATTTAAAAATTTTGAAATTCATTCCGTCATAACTAAAAGTCAAGAATAGACTCATTTCAACACAGTGATACGAACAACTTGCAAAACTAAGGACTGATTTCATTTGCAAAATAATTTATAAGAATCTTGGTCTGAAATTTCAACGAATAGTTTCATATTAGTTGGGCGCCGAGTTTATGTAAAATGTTATGGAAGAAATCATATTTGTAAACATCGCATCCGTTGAACTTAAACTCAATCTAACTCAAGACTCCGCTGTTTTGTTCAAGCTTTCCGCGGAAAAAACTTAGCAAATTCAACCTTTTCGTTAATGTCATGAAGTCTGGATCCGCCACAAAAAGTAAGTAAATAAAAATGAAGTGAAAAGATCAAATCACAGAATCTCTTTCATTCGTAATTCTGGTACTTTTATCAACAAAATGTTAGGTCAACAATATTCACTAACTGTTGTTTAGAATAAATATCTTATCAGAATGGGTTGTGAAGATTGTGCAGCTTCATTGAAATCGTGAACCAGTCAATGTTAGACCATCATTAAAAACTGAAAGCACTTATTAGCTTTTTTGCCCAAGTATAGGACTCCTCAGCAACGCACAGTCATGACCTCCTACGCGGGAATCAGACCCAAGAACTTCGATCTCCAGTGAGAAAGCTTCAAGTCCAAACGATTGAGTCGGCATCCAACGGTGTTAATGTCTAACTTCAATCAACCTATAATATTATACAACCACCACTAGGATGAAAAGACCGTCAATGATGATCTAACATTGGTCGGTTCACAATGTCAATGAAATACCATCTGAATTATATTATGCTAAGTAAATCGATTGGAATATCAAAACACAAACAAAACGAGACTGAGTAATTGCTTTCATCGAGTTTAAGACGCGATTCAAATTAGCGTCATTGCCATAAGATGTTTCAGTGGCCAAGTAAAATAATGACGGTATTTCACAAGTGATTTATGTCTTTTACGATAAAGCTCAACAAATTGTTTGGTTGGATACCATCGACTGAAAACGAGGCTGATATAAATAATTATTCAAAATAATTATTAAACGATGTACCTCTGCCTTACTGGAATTTGTAGAAATCCTAGATACTTGACGGTTAAAAGCTGACTTTTCTATTCGATGGAAATGTGTAGTGTGAATTAATTTATTTTTTTTTCATAGTGAATATAGTTACAATTCACTGGGTTCAAATTTTTTATCTTGCCACTTTGTTTTCTCAAAAAACGTTTGATCATATTTTATCATGAGACTATTATCTCAAACATTTCCAAACTGTCATTCTGATTACTGATGATGATTCTTTCAAAACCCATTAACATTTGACTGCATTGCTATTTTACATTTTATCCAAGTATTTGTTACCTAAGCTCTAGATGTTTTAATAGTGTGGATTAATCGAATTTCACAACTTGTATAAAGCCACGAAATAAAATGAAAACTCCTTATGATACAATCGTTGCTGGGCTTACTTTGTGTGAATTTGTGAAAGAAGCTGATAACATGAAACATATTCTAACATCTATAATTGAATATCATTGTGAAATGACTTGGCATAACATAATCTTTGTGTTTGATCTAATTTATTAACTAAGCCCAAGTGTCATATCTTTAGGTTGTTATCACTTCCACATTAATTTGGGGTTCACTTATAGCCAGACAAGGCTTTGAATCATATTACTTGTGTTCAACATAGTAATACTAGATAGCAGCCCAAATCAATGTAGCTGCAGTTAGATGTGGTATATATATATATATATATATATATATATATATATATATACAGAGAGAGAGAGAGAGGACAGCTACTCTTACCTCTAAATAATTTCCAGAAAGATTGAGAGATCGTAGTGTCATATAAAATGCAGATAAATCTGGTAGATACTTCAACTGACAGGCTTCCAGAGAAACTGAATTACCTCCTGAATTGTATGAATCTAATAATTTAACTTGTTCTGGTCTTATACATGTTGCTGTAGGATTTAAATGAAAGTAATTCGTATGGATCAATCATTATGAAATAAAACAAACAATATAAAATCATCAATTTTTTAAATCCGATAGTTATAAAAGCTACCATACAAAAACGAATTATTTTCATACCAGAACAGTCCTGCAACTAAGATTTGAAGACTCAAACTCCCAATTTTAAATGTCACGGGATAATTATTCAACTTTCAACTTACGAAGATGTCAAAAGCTGGTGTGCGACTGATAGAGTGGCTGATGAATAATGCCACGGAAATTTTATTCTCTATTGCTAAAGGAGCTGGGTCTATAGTTTCATGATTGAATATAGATGTTTTAAACAACTGATGTAAGACAGTTGGTTACTTTGTGAACCGACGTCAACTGGAACAGTATAACGTATCCAATCACTGACGAAGGTGTAGAGAAACAGTTTATGAAGTTACTGACATTTATTATAAATCTTATCTAGCCTTACCTTATGAAAACCTCTAGGTAGCTAAAAGTTTTGATGTGATAACTGGAATTTATATTGTCACTATTCAACTTTAAAAACTAACCGTATTCCCCCATACTTCTTTATCCGTCGTCCATTCAGATACTTTCTACATATTCATTTGTTTTAACTGAATTCATTATTTTCGATTAATTTTCATTGTTAATTTTTTAATGAACGAAAACTATTGACAAGACCAACTGATGCACTTTTGTCCACAATCGATCAATTATCTGTATATGAATAATTGAAGTTCTTAACTCGACTGCATTAGTTCAAGACTTGGCTTATTAAGAACATACTTCAGCCTACTATATATTAAATTTTATTCAAGAAATAATCCCAAGAACTCACACTACTCACTTATATCTTCAGCATGTCATTCAGTTTGTTCCCTTTATGAGTTTAATGAGGTCAGAGCAACAACTAAGGCAGAAAAATATAAATTCATTACATTTCGTGGTTTCTAATAATCTGCTTAGAACCTAATATGTAATAAAGTGTAACACTGAGATACAAGATAAAATAAAGTAACTGACATTGATGACGGAAGGAATTAGAGTAACAAAGATTGATAACCAAATACGATTTCTGCGTGAACAGAAATCAGATCATTTAAAGATGCGGTTCAAATGAAAATATGCAGGATGAGACAATAAATAAATGAATACCAGAAGCAAATAAGATGGAATAGCTGTAGAAGTTATAAAATGTTTAGATCACTTATCTAGAGTTAGTAAATGACAGGTTATGTGATAGATAAGTAAACAGGATTTGAAGGGATTTACAAAAATGTAGAAAAACGAATGAATAAGATGATTTTGGCATATGTACGCAAAGATTGGATAACAAAATGAACACAAACAATAATTACAATAATAAATAACGAAAATCATCAAGGTGATGATAAGCTGATTACTGTCTCCTCTCTCACTCTCTATTTATTTTTTGTTATCAATCTATGTTACTCTTATTCCTTTCATCATCAGTGTCAGTTACTTTATATTATATCATTCCTCATTGCTACACTTTATTACATGTTAGATTGTAAGTAGATGATTAGAAGCCATGAAATATAATGAATTTATATTATTCTGCTTCAAATGTTGTACTGGTCCAATTTATATATATATATATATTCAATAATGTCGTAATTTTTGAATATTTCCTTGAATATGGAGTTAAAAGACGTATGGTTATGAGTAGCTGTGAAGCCCAGGACAGAAATCTTATCATTTGTGCTCATTTCTATCTTATCTCTGTTATACAATTAATGCATTTGTTCTAGAGGTAAATACCCCAAAATAGTCCGATTAATTCATTCTAAGAAACTAACATCTAGATGTTACAAACATTTTCTTTAAAATTATACTTAAATAGGCTCCAGACATTGACACAAAGAAATGGCGATGTGCTGAAACTGACCTACGACTTACAAAAATAAAACTGAAACACTATGTTGCATAAGCTTACAGTTTCTATTCGGTTATTAGTTTCACAATAACCGTTACAGTTCGTTTTTCAAATGTTGAAACAATGATACTCGTTAAAAGACCATGAAATGAGTTTTCAGAAACTATATACTTCATTCTTGAAAGTTTTTGTGAATCAACAGACTTCTCCACGTTGTCATAGTTTTAAATTAAAACATAGTAATTTCTATCAGTAAACAACCGATAAACATACAATTAAAAAAAGATTGCCTTTTATTAATTTATATATGAAAGTCAACAAAAAAGTTTATTGAATACTTTAATTCTCTCCTTCCTTTTGTTAATCAGATAAAAAATGCAATTCAAATGAATAAGAAACTCATTGAAAATTGCATAAATATATCTAACATATTTACCAAAAAGAATCCCTATAATTAAAAAAGTTTTAATTAAAACTAAAGTGCGCAAGTTTTCAAATTTCAACCGAGTCTCATTTCAATTTAATTGCTTTCTTTTATATTAATGACTTTTAAATATTTTTTTTTGTTACATGATTTCAATGTAACCTAACAAAGAATTTTCTCTACTAAGTGAACAACATTCTTGTCATTCAGTTTATTCCGCATATTATTATTTTCAGAAACTTACTTTCATGACATTTGTTAGATTTGAAATTCTTTGGAAATCTTGATAATCTCATTATGCTATCTTCGGAGAAACTTTAAAAAAAAAATTATTAGACATATAATTCATGAATTATATTTGTAATTGTAACATACTCATACCAAATCATCTCATTGTGATTAATTTTCTCTTTTATATTAATTGCATAATTCACTTGATGCTTAGCTGTTGACTGTTGAAAATCTCTTGGCAGTCTTTCTATTGAACATATAATATCCGTATCGATAGTTCTAGTTAAAACATTTCTTAATTCACGAGCTATCAATATTAAGCCATGATACAAAGGTGTTCGTTTTATGGGTTTAGGTAGAGTTTGTAAAATATCATCGAAATGTTTGCCTGAAAATGACCCTGTGATAAAAGTGGGTTTTAATTGTTGTAAATTATGTGTTTTCTTTGTGGGTGAACGTTTGGTAATTTCCATTGGATATTGATATTGAACATTGTTATCGTTAGTACCAGCAGTTTTTTCTCTTTCATCAAACTTTTTACTTGACATACTGCCTTTTATAGAAAGACAGCCAAATGCATTGTTTACAAGATATTTATCAACAGCATGTCTCTTATTTTTATGTTCATTCATAATATTCAATCGCACTCCAGATGAAGAAAATGCAACACTTTTTAGAATAGGTAAATGACGATCTAAATACGAGTTTGCTTTATTGGTTGAAGTCGTGGATTTTCTAGGTTTGTAAACATAATTATCATATTCTGATAATTTTGACCTGGAAATTTTTCGAGGTCGACGAAACAGTATTAAACTCTCCATCAACTAACGACTGCTTTTTTTTAGATTTACTCTTTGAAAATAAAGAGAATATTAACTACAACAAACGTCGTTATTATTAAGTTTTTTAAAACCACGTGTTTATTGATTTCGGAATAGTGACCTTAGAACGTGTTACAATTGATACTAATAGTTGCTATAACCAACTAGAAATTGGCGAATTTCTGTTACGTTTGTTAAAAAACTAACTATTTCAAATATTCATCATCATTTTAGTACTCTAATCAATAGATAGAGCATTTTTAAATACAAATGTATATAGCACCACTCCAATTTGCTAGAAGTAGCAATAAAGGAAAAAAATGATCTTTTTACCACTTATATAGACAAACTACAACTATTAAAGTAGTGGTGGAGATGTGCTCTCCAAATCTGTAGCAGCTGATATTCGATATAATTCCTAAATTTTTTAATACTATTCGTCGTGATAACCATTAGTATATAACTCCCAGCGGTGTAAAATTCAGATGTTTATTATCACACCACACCGGTCAAACCACAGCCATTTGAAGCGAAAGTGAAATGATATGTGACTGTTGAGGAGCGAGCAGACGAGCGAGCGAATGAATAGGATTAAAATGTACTTATATATACATAAGAAAATGGATGAGTCTTCGAATTATTTAAGTGATCAACTTAAAAAGTAGAGGTCTGAATATTGGCGTAGGCGGCATTCGATGCTAAAGCAAACAGGCTGAAAAATAAAAAACGTACAACTACGCCTGAAGCGCCTCTAGGGCTAATTCCGGTCCCAAGCCTGGATAAAGTAAGAGGGCTACGCATAGGGTTGTCGACAAAATCCCGTAGGAAACTAACTCTCTGAAGAAACGCTAACCGGAAAAAAATAATTCAAACCATTTCAACTGTGCCCTGAGAGTTAGAAGGTCTTCATTCAAAAGAGTTATGACGTCTCACAATGAAAGCCGAGTCCCTTCGGAAGTCACGAGGCCGATGCCCCTTCCCACAACCAGAGAAACCATTCTTTTAATTATGTGGCATGTGAGAGACCGGAAGACTATTCCAGGTTGCTGTAGAAATGAAAAGATACAACCTCGAGTTGCTTGAAATCAGTGAACAGCATTGAACGCGAGTTGAACAACTGAGACTAGCTTCAGGATACCTGCTGTTATACTCTGGTAATGAAGAGGAAAACGCTTCACACACTCAAGGACTTGCACTGGTGCTGTCCAAACATGCACAAAAGGCGCTGTTAGGATGGGAATCTCATGGACCTAGGATCATCAAAGCGTCCTTCAAAACAAAGAAAGAGGACATTACAATGAACGTCATCCAACGCTATGCACCTATCAATCACTACAATGACGACGTTAAAGATCAATTCTAAGAAAGGCTGCAGTCAATCGTCGTTAGATGCTCACCAAAGGATTTGACGATTCTTATGGGAGACCTGAATGCAAAAGTTGGCATGCACAACACTGGATATGAAGACATTGTAGTGGAACGCTTCTACGAAGATAATGCGATTTGTGAAAAATAAACACTATTGTACTCGTTTTGCTTAAATGTACCAAAAACTCTTCTTCTAATTCTTGCGCGCTACGTTCCCTTCGCGTTCCAGCCATTTTTCTAAATGCCCTGCTCCCGATGTAATGCCCACTGTCTCCTTCAATAAAATCTTGGTACATGGATTTATTTTGATATGAATGGAACGTTTAGTGGTGATCATAGTCAATCTGGTATCTTGACTCGCTCACTAAAACATCATGGGACGACATGGATTGGGAGAAAGGAAAGAAAACGGTGAGAGATTTGCAAACCTATGTGGCTTCAACAAACCTGTCATAGGCGGCACAGTATTTCCTCACAAACTCATACACAAAGCAACATGGATTGCACCGGACCACACTACTCAAAACCAAATTGACCACATCTGTATCAATCAAAAGTTCAAAAGGACCATGGAGGATGTGAGAACCGAGAAAGGAACTGATATAGCCTCAGATCATCACTTCATGAAACTGAAGAAACACTGGACAACAGGGCAGACAAAATCACAAAATTTTAATACGGCCTTTCTTCGGGATATTGACAATCTCAACGAATTCAAAATATCTCTCGGAAATAAGTTTCAAGCCTTCCACCATCTACTCAATGGAGAGGAAACTAACATAAAGAACGACTGGAAAGGAATCGAGAAAGCAATTACTTCAAGATATCATGAGGTTCTGGAACACAAGAAGTACCATCACTAGGAATAGACCTCCGTTTGTACTTTTAATAAAATTGAAGAAAAGAGGAATGAGAAGGCGACAATCGACACCAGTCAAACAATAGCAAAGAGTGTCAAGGCACAAGCTGGATACACAAAAGCAAACAAGCAAGTGAAGAAAAGCATCAGCGGGGACAAACGTAAATAATGGGAAGATCTAACAATGATGGCTGTATATGCTGCAAGAGGAGAAAACCTGAGAGACTTGTACTGTACTACACAGAAGCTCTCTGGAAACCATCGTAAACCAGAACGGTCAGTGGAGAGCAAGGAAGGCAAAGTAATCAGTAGCATTGAGGAAATACGGAATAGGTTGGTAGAGCACTTTATATAACTCTTGAATCGACCAGCGCTGCTAAACACACCCAACGTTGAAGCAATATTCACCGACCTCCCAATCAACGTCGGCCCACCGAAAATTAAGGAGATTGGTATGGTGATATGCTTGCAGCTATTACCAATTCACTTTACTCGGTAAACCGAACGAAGATCAACGATGCAGTGACACGATAGACTATTCTAATCGGATTGTCCTAGGGCCCTCTAATTACTTACTTACTTACTTACTTACTTACGCCTGTTGCCCCAAATGGAGCATAGACCGCCCACCAGGTTTCTCCAACTAACTTTTCCTGGGCTTCCCTTCCCAATTCTGCCCGAATTTTGTTCACTCTTCCCATGTCTTTCTCTATTTCTCGACGTAGTGTGTTCCTTGGAATTCCTCTTTTCCTTTGACCTTGTGGGTTACATGTGAGGGCTTGTCTCGTGATGCAGTTAGGTGCTTTTCGTAGTGTGTGTCCTATCCACTTCCACCGCTTCTTCCTGATTTCCTCCTCCACTCGAATCTGGTTTGTTCTCTCCCACAGTACGTTGCTGCTGATGGTGTCTGGCCAACGAATCCGAAGTATTTTGCGTAGACAACTGTTAATAAACACTTGTATCTTCTGGATGATGGCTTTGATAGTTCTCCGAGTTTCCACTCCATACAGTAGAACTGTCTTGACATTTGTATTGAAAATCCTGATTTTGGTTTTGGTTGAAAGTTGTTTGGAGTTCCAGATATTTTTCAACTGTAGAAATGCAGCCCTTGCTTTGCCAATCCGTGCCCTCACATCTGCATCGGATCCACCTTGATTGTCGATGATGCTGCCAAGATATGTGAAGGTGTTAACGTCCGCCCTCTAATTAGATGGAGAATGTTTGATAAGACGAAGAGAGTATATATTCACAGGCACCCAGAAAATAAGAGGTCCACAAGCACACAACTCAATCTTATGTACACAATGATAAAACGTCCTTGGTGAGAGCCACAAAGTAGCGTACTAAAATAATAATAATAAAATAATAATGACAGTAAACGATTTTCCGAGTGGAAACGTGAGATGAAGGTCAACTAAGAGTCTATGGTGCGAAAACAATGAAATTCAAAACTGAAGAAATAAATTAGGACCTTTTTCAAGAGAATTCTGGGGATCTAACTTCCAACATATTACCGTCAAACAAATCAAGAACGGCAAAGCAGGGCGAACAGACAACGTTCCAGCAGAGGCAGTTAAAGACCACGTGGAAGCAAGTGCAAAAATATCACATATTCTCTTCAACAAGATTTAGTATGAAGAATAAGTACCAACAGATTGAAACGAAGCATAGCTCATCAAAATACCAAGAAAAGTCAATCTCAGCAAGTATGAGAACTTCAGAGGCAACACTCTTCCCTCAATACCAGTAAAAGTCTTCAACATGGAGTTGCTAAATAGAATGAAGGACTTCGAAGACGCCGAATTTAGGGATCAAAAGGCTGGATTTCGTAATGATCGATCGTGTACTGACCAAATTGCAGCATTACGGATCATTGTGGTCGGTTGAATGGAACTAACCAGTCTACATCACCTTGACTGACTATGAGAGCGTGAGCAAGACAAGACTATGGAGGCTTCCTCGATACTACGACGTGCGTTCGAAGACAGTCAACATCATACGGAATTTTTAGGATGGATTAAACTGCGAAATAATGCATGCAGTACAGACCACAGACTATTTCGGAATGAAGACCGGTGTCAGGCAAGGTTGCTTACTCTCACCCTTTCTCCTTCTCCTGGTCATCGAATGGGTTATGAAGACGTCAACATCTGGAGGAAAGCACGGTACTCATTGGACAACCAGAATAGAGCTGGACGATCTGGACTTCGTAGATGACCTGGCTCTTCTATCGCACACGCAACAAAAAATGCAAGAGTAGACAGCCAGAGAAACAGCAACCTCAGTGGCAGTAGGTCTCAACATACATAAAGGTAAAAGCAAGATTCTACGATACAACACAACATGCGCTAACTAAATCACACTTGATGGAGATGCCTTGAAGGACTTTAAATCCCTTACATATTTAGGCAGCATCATTGACGAGCAACGTGGATCCAGCACAGATGTGAAGGCATAGATTGGCAGAGCAAGGAATACATTCCTACAATTTAAGAACATCTGGAACTCAACCGATACCAAAATTTGAATTTTCGATGCAAATATCAAGATAGCTCTACTCTATGGGGCGAAAATTTAGAGAACTACCGAACCCGTCATCTAGAAGGTTCAGTTAGTTATTAACCGTTATCTACAGAAAATACTTCGGATCCATTAGCCATACACCATCACCAACAACCTACTGTGGGACAGAACAAACTAAATTCCAGCGGAGGAGGAATTCAGGAAGAAGAGGTGGGAGTGGATATTACACACATTGTAGAATGCATCTGAC